AGAAGGACATGGAGCTACTGGAGTGAGTCCAAAGGAGGCCAGGAAGATGATCCAAAGGCTGGAGCACCTCTGCTATGGAGACAGGCTGAGAGAGTTGGGGCTGTTCAGCCTGGAGAAGAGAAGGCTCCGGGGAGACCTTCCAGCAGCCTCCCAGTACTTAAAGGGGGCCTACAGGAAAGCTGGAGAGGGACTTTTGACAAGGGCATGTAGTGATAGGACTAGGGGCAATGGATTTAAACTGAAAGAGGGGAGATTTAGATTAGATATACGGAAATTCTTCCCTCTGAGGGTGGTGAGGCACTGGAACAAGTTGCCCAGAGAAGCTGTAGATGTCCCATCCCTGGAAGTGTTCAAAGCCAGGATGGATGGGGCTTTGAGCAACCTGGTGTAGTGGCAGGTGTCCCTGCCCATGTCAGGGGGGTTGGAACTAGGTGGTCTTTGAGGTCCCTTCCAACCCAAACCATTCTGTGATTCTCTAAGTAGGACAGGGAGAGAATATGAGCTTAAACCACCCAGCACAGAACTGTTGTAGAAATCTGTTCCTGTGTATGCTGGAGTGAAAAATAGCTCGGTAATACTGGCTATCACTGACAGTGGAATTTTGGAGAAATGTAACCACTTAGCAGTCAAACTAATAAACCTTGGCTGCCGGGTGGTGAGTGATGCAGAGGAGAAAATGCCCGTGTAACTCCGGAGAGGGGAGGTTGGTTTGGTGTTAATAAATAAGTGGAGTTCTGGAAATTCGGTGCTTAGCTGCTCTTCCAAGGTTAAGTTCTGGTTTAAATAAAATTGCATTTAAAGTGCTATACTATATATCAACCAATTTGTGGGAATGTATTGCAGTAAGCTTTTGGGGTATAGAACAGTATTTTGGTAATGTTAAGTCTACTTTTGTTAATTATTCCTAAATTCTGCCACTCTTTTGGCAGAATTTATACTCAAAAGTAAGCTGAGTTTTAAAAACTCCAGAGATCCAGTTGCATTTGAGTTTCAGGGTACGTGTATCTTGTTTTTGCCAGTAATCTGCTGTGAAAGTTCGGAGTGTTTTCCGTTTGAGCTTTAAGCTGGCTTTTATATGGCAATTGAGATGAAACACATTTAATTCTCTGCAAGTAAACTGTGAGTAATTATTAAACACTTTAGAACTTTAACTTAAATATTATGCAGCGTCTTGTGGCTGACAGATATCGGGAGGACGAATGAACCAGAAATAGTAATGCACTGTTTTGAGAACAGGAGTGAGTCTGGGTTTGTAGAAAAATCCAGTGATATATTTTTATTTTTTTTTTTGGAGCAGCTCATTAATGGGGAAAAGCAGGTAGCAGAATGCAATGTCCTCAAAATACGAGGAAATGTTTGTGGGATGGCAGGCTGGCTTGTTTTGCCCAGCTGGGTATAAGCTGAGTTTATTACAGCCTGCTTGTGAAGTGGCTGTTCGTTTGGGAAATGTGAGCGGCTCCGTGGATGGATGGGTGAATAAATTGGTATAACGAAGCTGAGAGAGCTGGAGGCTGGCTGGGTAGCATATAGATCTCCGAGGAGAAAACTGGCTAATATTTGAGCCCAGTTTTAATATCTGGAGCCCCCAACATAAGAAGGACATGGACCAGTTGGAGAAGGTCCAGAGGAGGGCCACGAAGATGATAAGAGGGCTGGAGCACCTTTCCTATGAGGACAGGCTCAAAGAGTTGGGGCTGTTCAGCCTGGAGAAGAGGAGGCTCCGGGGTGACCTTATAGCGGTCTTCCAGTACCTCAAGGGGGCCTACAGGAAAGATGGGGAGAGGCTGTTCAGGAGGGCCTGTTGTGATAGGACAAGGGGTAATGGTTTTAAAATAGAGGGAGGTAGATTCAGATTGGATATTAGGAAAAAATTTTTTACCATGAGAGTTGTAGAACACTGGAACAGGTTGCCCAGAGAGGTGGTGGATGCTCCATCCCTGGAGGCCAGGGATGGACGAGGCCCTGAGCAACCTGATCTAGTTGGAGATATCCCTGTTTGTTGCAGGGGGGTTGGACTAGATGACCTTTGAAGGTCCCTTCCAGCCCTAACCATTCTATGATTCTATGATTTTTGGAAGTTCTCAGTCCCTGTTAGCTCCTGTTGGGAATGTGATGGGAGCCAGTATATGTTTAGTGCTTTTGAAAATTTGATTCCAATTTTATTTTTTGGAATGCTGCGTGTGTGATGACCAGGCATTATTCCACTTCTGTGCTTTGCCCCTTAGAAATGCATTGCACGTACTGGGTCTGACTGAATCATGGAATCACAGAAGGGTTTGGGTTGGAAGGGGCCTCAAAGACCATCCAGTTCCAACCCCCCTGCCATGGGCAGGAATACTGAAACACTCCTTTCCTGCTTTGTTTTACTTAGATATTCCAGAGCATTTGGCATTTAGGAGGAGTTTCACCAAAGACAGAGGCAGTCACTGGAGTTAAATTCTCCTTCGGAGAAGTGGCTGCTTGTGGCAGCTGTGGCCGCAGAGGTGCGGGTTCCTTTGGTAGCTGCCCATGTTCCACAAGGAATGATTTAGCTTTGTTGTCACGTTTGGGCACTTCTCATTGTCACACAGTTCTCAGATACATTCTGTGAAACGTATACATTTTGGAAGTTTGAAAGAAGGCGGCTTGATGACTAGAGTATTTTATATTGCTGGATTCATGGCAGCACTGGATAGGGAACTTCTGCAAACCCACCTTTTGTTTTTTCCTGCTCTTTTGGTCCGTTTGGTCAGAAATGTGGTGTGATAGGTCATGAACTTCCATGGGTATGAAGGCAGGGAGCCATTGCCTTAAAGCACAGATTGAAAGGCTTGATGTTTTTGGTTGTGGAAACCTGTTTACTGGTTCAGCTTTTTCTAATGTTCATATAGAAGTAAATGTAAATGTAGTATTTCTCCCTGAGAAAGTTTCTTCTTCGTTACTCTGATGTCAGCGTCCTTTGGGTTTCTTCCCCAGGTCATAACTTCTGACATTCACAGCTACTTTAGTCTTTTCACCTACCGTAGTCTGTCAATTAACACTGAGCATAGAATCATAGAATGGTTAGGGCTGGAAGGGACCTTCAAAGGTCATCTAGTCCAACCCCCCTGCAAGGAACAGGGATATCTCCAACTAGATCAGGTTGCTCAGGGCCTCGTCCAACCTGGCCTTGAACGTCTCCAGGGATGGAGCATCCACCACCTCTCTGGGCAACCTGTTCCAGTGTTCTACAATTCTCATGGTAAAAAATTTTTTCCTAATATCCAACCTGAATCTACCTCCCTCTATTTTAAAACCATTACCCCTTGTCCTATCACAACAGGCCCTCCTGAACAGCCTCTCCCCATCTTTCTTGTAGGCCCCCTTGAGGTACTGGAAGACCGCTATAAGGTCACCCCGGAGCCTCCTCTTCTCCAGGCTGAACAGCCCCAACTCTTTGAGCCTGTCCTCATAGGAAAGGTGCTCCAGCCCTCTTATCATCTGATGATTCGAATTGTATAAAAACAGAAGCTTGATACCAGTAATTTGATTTACACGTGAGCCCACCCAGATCCCCTTCTGCTTGTGTGTTAAATGCTTCAAGCATTTAGCTTTGTATCGTACCCTTTCATTGAAGAAGCTGGCTGTGGTTCTTAACAGTCACAGGCTGTGCTTGGAGACCTGATTTTGAGTCCTAAGTACTTCATGGCCTTGGTGAGTCAGTTTGCTTTTTTTGACTGTTTTCCAAAATGATAATTTGAAATGAAAATACTTTTGTAAATTTATGTGACATGAATGAGATTTTTTTGTTGTTGTTAAAAATGCCTGATGTTTGCTCTAATGAGAACTATAAAAGCTCTGTAATTATTTTTGGTGTCCTTGCAGATCTTTGAGATTTTAGACCCGTCTCCTGAAACTGTTCCTTCTGTGAAAACACTTGGATTGTTTCGGCTGAAAGTACAGTTGTTCATAACCTGCAAACTGGACGTGAGATACTGCTTTGCAGTAGCTGTTAATCTGCTGATGAACTCATTCTTGTAGAGATGGGAAGGGATTTGAGTAGAGTGCAAACTGAACAGAACGAGTTTCGAAAACGTCTAGCAATTTGAAACGCTGCTTGGGTGTGAAGTGAGGTGTTCACAAGACACAGAGTTTCTTGAAATCTTGATCCTTTTTAGCCATCCATAATGCCATCGATGCAGAAGTGCTCCTTAGAGTTCCAAAGCACAAGAAAGTAGGATAACTGGGTAGATGAAGCACCAGTGCTTACGGATTGTGAAAGGTGTGAGGATGAAGGTTCAAGAATTGACGTGCTCTGGCTGTGGTTGTGATCGACTTGCAGAAGTGTGCTTGGCTTGCAAGCTTTACGAGATGTTGTTACAGTGCCTGTATTTGGGCATTTAGGTTGTCCCAGTTGTGCAGAGAGATTCATTTTTGTGGGATCCCTTCGCTGAGGCTTGATGTCAAGCATTTTGCCTTGTGTTTTGCTGTAGGGTGGGAAGAAGCACGTAGTCAGCTTAGGAGTCTTAGCTGATGGGCACCAACTTGAGTCAGGATAACTCAGTTTTGTTGGTATGTCTGTATTTTGAGGCATTTCCTTTGGAATGTATGCCACCTAAATGATAACTCTCTTAAGAGATAACTCTCGATAGGACGAGAGGAAATGGCCTCAAGTTGTGCCAGGGGAGGTTTAGATTAGATATTAGGAAAAATTTCTTCACTGAAAGGGTGGTCAAACATTGGAACAGGCTGCCCAGGGAAGCGATGGAGTCACCGTGCCTGGCAGTGTTCAAAACCCGTGTAGATGTAGCACTTCAGGACATGGTTTAGTGGGCATGGTGGTATTGGGTTGGCGGTTGGACTTGATGATCTTAGGCATCCTTTCCAACATTAATGATTCTATGATTGAATGAGGCTTTTTAATTGGGAAATTGTGACTGTGAGATAAATTTGTCATAGGGAAGAAGACTGAAGGTACTAAAAACCCCCTGTATGCATGAACGAAGCCTGGGAAGTTCCAGAATTTTGTGGTTTTTTTCCAAAGTATGCTCTTCCAGCCTAAGAGTGTACTGAATCAGATTGTTGAGAGGCAATTGTCATCCTGAGTATCTTGCTATGCAAGTGGTCTCTGCCGTGATAGATTCTACTGCCTCGAGAATTTGTTAGGGTATGGATACATGTCTCCTGATCTCACTGGTAACAGCAGTTGAAGTTTCTGCCTCTTTCTTCTGTCTTCCCCCGAGTTTAATGCCGCGTCCATTTTCTGTGGTTGTCACGGATTCCTGTGATGGCTTCTAATCTGTTTGGGTCAAAATAAGCCTTTTTAGCAGAGACCAGTTACTTTGAACTCTAAGCTCACCTGCTGTTGTTTGGGAATGAAAAGCAGCAGAACCAGTTGGGCCAACTGGTGAGGAATCGTTGCATTTAGCCACTCAGAGCTGTCTTTGAGAGAAACTTGAGGCTTTTCAGCTTTGAGGGACGTGATGTAATGGGCCAAGTTCATTCCCAGGTGGTTGCAGTTCGTGTTGCAAAACTCTATTTTACACCTTCATCTGAATAATGTGATGTTTGGTGTATAATGTTAAAGGTCTACCATATTCCATTTGGGAGATTCTCCTCTTGCAGAGGAAGAATAAAGCAAGCTGGTACTGAGTGAAAGAACAGGTCTTGTTTACATCTGGTTTTATAGTGTGATATTCCATCTTAGGAGTCTTTCCCTCACAGGGCCAAAGAATACCCTGTGTTTTATGATAAGCTGAGAAATTGTTCCCCAGGCACGAGTGGAATGGTTGTTACACGTTGGTAAGGTGGATAGTGTTAGACAAGTGTGAAATGTCCCTTTCCTGGCTCTCGGGGCTGGTACTCCGGAGGACTGTGTAGCTGTCTGTTGGCCATGGCTGCGATGTCATGGGCATCCGTTGGGAGAGCCAACACATGGACCAGCTCGTTATTTGTCAGGATACTTCTGCATGATCTGAACATCTGTCTTCTGCGTGTTGGTGAGGGTGGTTCGTCGTCCACAGGCAACCGTGAACGTAACTCGCTGTTACTGCTCAGGGGTCAGGATGGTACAATTACTGCGAAGGAAGGAGAATTCATCTCCATTTTCATAAAAAAGAGTTTGGTTACCTCTTAACCACTCTTTAAGTAACATCTCTGTAGCATATCTTTTTTTTCCTTTCTCCCTCTTTCCAGTCTTGAATTGATTTTTTTGGAAAAGAAATTAACTGTATGCATTAATATCTTCTGTGTTAGTGTTTTCAGCACATCATAGTGAATAAATATTATTTTATCAGCCCACTCAGCAGTGATGGCCATTAACCTGACGGTTAATGGGATGGAATGCTGAATACAAGCCTGTTCCACAATGGCAGAATCTGGCTCTCCTTTTTACTGGAATAAAGCTGCTTCTGTTTGCAGCCCCGTGTTGCTGGGAGACTGCAGCTAATTTTTATGGCGCATGTCAGTAGTAGTGATTCAAATTATGCATTTCATTGAGGAGCTCTTCTCTTTGTTTGTAAACTGTCTTCTGCGAGGGGAGAGAATTTTTTGGTTTTGTTGTTCTGGGGAGAACAGTATCCAGAGCAGCGAAAATTACTTAATCTGGAACAAAAGCTCAGATTGTTTTGTTGGTAACATCATTGCTGTTCCCAAAGTCACTCCTGGCTGGATTTGCACTAGTCTGATTCTCACCAGGAGAATTCCAGGTGAGGCGAATGCATCTCCTCAAACTATTTTTCTTTTTCAGATTCCGTGTTCCAAAACAACAAATAGACTCCGAGAGATTTATGAGTCAGAAAATGATGTGATTTTGGTTCACAACAAAGATACAGTGGCAGTTCTGGGGCTCTGTGGGTGATGCCATCCTTTCTAAAATGACTCTTACACAGCTGGCACGTGGATCAGGACATGTATGCAGTTACAGGAGCAAAAAGTGGGTGTAACTGGGTTGACCAGGGAATTAATCTGGGCTGGATCTGAATAGTTCTGGCCTTTCTAGGCACAGAAATGCAGATGCACTGCGATTTCTCAGCTCACCTTCTTTCTCTTTTGACAGCACTGAGAGGTACTGACAGCAGTGTGAGCTGTGCATTTTACGCTCAAGTCAGAAAGTTTTGCTTGGAAATTAAGGCAAATAAAGCGAATATCAAATCCAAATTGTCTTTTCCCGTCCTCAGATGCCAGACTGTCGTCAAGCTTGATGCCTTCCCCTCCAATCCTATCGTATTCCTGCTCCTGCAGCCTGTCGTTCAGGGTTTCTTTGTCAGAGGCACAGTCTGTACAGCTATAGGTCAGGATTAATACGTTGGTTTTGGTGGCAAAGCTCCCTTTCCTGCTAGTTCTTGCCTTAGTGTCACGAGGTGCTGCCCTGTTAGCTGATGAAGTTATGTCTGAGTATTTATTTAGTATAAATCAGGTGGTTGAAATTATCTGTGTTCAAAAATACTGCAGGTTGGGGTTTTTTAAGGGTCATATCTAATCTCTGTTACTTTGGCAATGTGTTGTGTAACGTGATACCACAAACAGAGGGATCAATACGGCTGGGACTGGGAAAGGTACGAGCTGTATCACGTAGGCATGGACCAGCAGTGGGAGGCAGGAACCTCCTGAGCTATTGGTGCTGCTGATGTGAATGTTCTGTGCAGCTAACACTCATAGAAGGGATGAGATGTCAGCTTACAAAAAAAGTCCTTCACCCTGGGGAAGAGCCCAAGATCGTGTGTCCCAGTACAGTCTGTTCTTTGCCTGGTCCTACTTTTAAGTGGGTGAAGAGTGACATGTATGGAGGAGCATAGCTGACAGATGCATTTTAGGGAGACTTTCACTGTTTTAACGCTCACTGTTGAACTCTGGTATCTCCGTCGTGACCACATATAGTGCAGTACTTTGTCTGTTTACCTTCTTCTGAAGACCTTGCAGTTGATTGGGATGTTTTTCTCTTCCTCCTTTAGGTCTCCGGGTGAATGGGGAGCTCATTACTGCCTACCCGCAGGTGGTGGTTGTGCGTGTGCCAACACCTTGGGTCCAGAGCGACAGCGATATCACAGTCCTTCGCCACCTGGAGAAGATGGGCTGTCGGTTGATGAATCGTCCCCAAGCCATCCTTAACTGTGTCAACAAGTTCTGGACGTTTCAAGAACTTGCTGGTCATGGTGTGCCTCTTCCAGACACTTTTTCATATGGTAAGGCTTTTGGATCAAAAGGCTGGCAGAGTTGCCTACCATAATCTATGCTTTTGCAGTGCAGAAGTTGCGAGTCAAGTTTTGGAAATCCATAGGATTAAGTAGCATGAGGCTGGTTCCACAGATAAACGTTCAGTAAGCAGAAAGGGAAATGAAGGTCACAGCACTCAGATTCCAGTTTTGGCTTTGTTGATTAGCTGTGATGCTTTGGGAAGAGTATTTTAACTGTACCTCAGCCTCCCAAGCAACTAACTTTGGCCATTACTACTAAGACACTCTGAACTCTTTTCCAAATGCCCAAAACGACGGACAGGAGCTTGGGGAACTAAATGTTATAGGGTCCTATAAAGATCTAGACTTTGGTAAAACCTGAAAGTAGATTAAACTTCTTTATGAATAAAAAGATCTGCAAATATATTAGTTATCGTGAAAGGACAAAAAGAATACAGGCCCTTGTGTTCAACTTTCAACAATTGTGTGGAGTTTGTTTCCCACTGGAACAATTAATTATTAATATTTCTTGTGCCTGCCTCTGGAGTCTGTGGTTCCTGATAGCGTGCAAGGTTAGAGGAACCATTTATCTCAGCTACCCCGATGCTATTTCTGCTTTTGATTACAATGTATTAAAGAATTTAAGATACCTCTTGGCCTTCTTTTCCTTCTTGGGAAATACCAGTGCTTCCCTCCCCTTTGTGTGGTTGCACTAATAGGCTTTTGTAATGGCAACTTGACAAAAACACAAACAAACTTGACAAAAAGAAAAACATGGGTTACTATCTCCATCAATTTCTGTGAAAACACATTTGAGAAGAAACATATGCTTTCTTTATAGATGTGGTTGCTGTAGCTCTTTGAGAAAGGAATGAGATTTTAATTTTTTTTGAGGGGAAGGGGAAACCATGAACGATGGGGTAATGGCAGAACAACTCTGTTCATAACTCCCTGCCACTTCTTTTAATGCCTGCCTCTGGAATTTGACAGAAGCATGATTTTTTTTTTTTTTCTTTCCTTTTTTAACACAAGTATCAAGTTATCAGTGGGAGCTGGTTTGCCAAGAAAAACAGAATGTCCTGAGTGGCATGTTATTCCATGACATGCATTAAAATCCATGGCAGGGTAGGAATGGTTGCTGCTGGCTTTGTGACCAGTGTCGTGGCTTGACTTCTGCGCCTCACCGCACGTGCTGGTAGAGGAGGCTCATCCCTTTGCCTGCTGACTTTCTCTTCTGTATTTCTTGTACTGTGGTCAGCCTTCTGTGAATTGAACTGAACTCAAATGACCTTGAAGTATCAATCGTAATCACGGGAATGGCCATTCAGAGCTCCTCTCTAAGGTCCTTACAGATGCAACGAGACAAAAAGGTTGAAGTGGTACTTCAGGAAATGGGGAGAATGAGATGCAGGAGACTTAAGCCTTGGAAAGGGGGGAGGTGGAGTGACAAGATTTGGGTTGTTGCCCTCTGGATTATCCCTTGTCTTCGTCTTCCATGTTGTTTCCCTGGTTAGTAGTTTGGATGGAACTGTTACTGGTCTGTGCTATTTTCCTGCTAGACATTGGAAAAGGTGGGAGTTGATAAAGTAAATGGGATAAACTGGAACAAGATGGTAGAATTGGGGCATTCAGATTGGGAAGATCGGATTGAGCCTTTTGGGGTTGTGATCAAGAGGCCTTTGTCAGCTTGTGTCTTCCTTTTCAAAGGAAGCTGGAGTTAGTATCCCACAGAGTAAAAGCCCCTTCAAAGTCTGATGATGCTCCACGACCAAGTTGCTCTTAACTGATAGTTTTTTCTGCGTTTTCTAAGCTGTAAGGGTGGGAGGAATGTGTGGCAATTACATCCCCAATTTGGCCACACCAGATTGGTGGCACATAATGTTGTTGGTTTTCTTTTTGCCAGGTGGTCATGAGAATTTTGCCAAAATGATTGATGAGGCGGAAGTGCTGGAGTTCCCTATGGTGGTGAAGAACACGCGGGGTCACCGAGGTGGGTGTGAGGTCAGGGGTGAGGGCAAGGAGTATTCCGAGCAGCACTCCTTCAGTCTCATCAAGGGATGATAGTTGGGAAGGTCTTCTACTAGGTTCTTCTATTAGGTGATGGACTTCTTTGCGGTACGTCTAAATTCTACCACCCTTCCACTTGGTAATGTTGAGTGGGCTGCAACACTGGGAAGCAGCTTGAGTAGAACCTGGTCTTCCAATAGCAGGGGGGTAGGGGTTCAAAACCGTGGTGCATTGGTGACTTCTGTGAGGAAAGCTTGGAACTGGAATAATGGAAGGTCTGGCCTTAGGGCAGTAGAGAGAAGCCTACGTGGATTTTAGGGGTGTTTCTAAAAAGGCATAAGAAATGAAATCTTAACTTCATTCAGTCTTATTTTGACTTTTTTCCTATTTGATTTTGTCTGTAATTAGAGTTTCGATTTAAATAAGATCTCGTGTATTGTTTGTCAGACTGGATCACTGTTTTTCATAAAAATGTCCCTGACAGTGCTGGTGTTAATACAGCAGATTCAGATGAAATTGTTCTGTTATCAGTCTTTTGTTTTAAGCGTTGAATATGAAACAGTACATCGATTTCTTTTAATGTTAGATAGCAATCTACTGGAGGAAACCAGATTTAAAATCCATTTCAGAGGTTATTTGCACAGGAGGTTGCACTGTTTTCAATTCAGCTTAAAACCAATTTAATAAGTACTAGAAGTAAAAAGGAGACTGCAACCAAAGTTTAAGCACATAAACCAGCAGTTACCTTAAAAGCACAAGGAAAAGACACCACTTCTTCCTTCTTATTGTCCATCAGTTTGTTCCCACTCTGGGCTGCCCTGGTGCATCTCTTCTGCTGGCATGAGTGTTTCTGTAGCCGTGTAGTAAATGGGTCCAGGAACTGATGGGGGATGAATCTAGATGGGTTATTTTTACCTGGATTAATTCCTTAAAAGAATCATCATTTACTTGCACAAGGGCTCGTGTCGATGTAATGGAAGAGTGAGAGCAAAAGGCTGGGGCAAAGGAAGGTCAGACCTGCTGCTGCTGGCAGTGGTACCTGTTTATATGGTTTTAAAGTGAAGCCAAGTTGGAGTTGGACTTTGCAGCAAGCTGAATTTGACAACTGCGGGGTGTCTGAGACAGTGCATTTGACTCGAGGGTGCCTCTTGTTAAGATCTACTAAAAAATTAAGAGTTTGCAGCTACCGACTTTCTTCTCTTTTTTTTTTTAGGCAGAATTCATTTAAATCTCTGTTTACAAGTTTTGCTTTAGAGCACTTCAAATTCCAGGCATTTTAATGCGAATTTATGCACAGTACATACCTTTTCGAATTAGGAAGGTTGGGGAAACTTTTTGGAATTAATTGAGCCATTTGCAAATTGTATTTTTTTTTTTTAAAAAAAAGGGCCAACACTGCCATAGGTACTGGCTGACAAATAAAATCTGTACTCTTCTTGGCCCGTTTCCTACATAGTTTGCTGCTGCAGCAAATGTGCCAATGTTATTTTTGCCAAGATGTCATGATGCTGCATAATTCCCAAGAACGAAGTAGTTCCCCTCCAAGGCATCGTTCTTCCTATCCCATTTCAGGAATACAGTAGGATTATTAAGTGCCTGTGGGAGAGCTGAAGTTTGGAATGGGAAAAAGCACATGGAGGCTTTTGTCTTCGTTCTGATACTTGGCTTGTGACGAGAAATTCCATGTTCCTCAAGCAGTGTTCTGTGTTATGGGAGGCCTTAAATACTGACAAAGCAGAGGCTGCAGCAGTTGAGCTTTGGAGCATTTGGTGGACTTCTTCTTCACGTGATGTTTCTCCTAGTTCTGCTGCTGCTGCATTTCTGATCCCTTAATTAAGACAGGCGGTTTATCAATTGGTTTTTCGACTCTCTTAACATTGTAGCGTAGTCGAGTGACAATTCTGCCACAAAAAAAAAAATTGTGCAGCCTTATTGCAAAAGATAAATCTAATAGAACACCTAAAAGAGTCCTTAAGAAAGGGGAGGAGGAGCTGGGAAATGGATGGAAAGGGATGCCGTCTTGTCAGTCTAGAAATGAGGTGGAACATGGTAGAGCCTATTTCAGGAGAGACTTTCATCAGTATTAGTAAAACTGGAAAAGAACAAGCAAGTCTTTGGTGTGCTATAGAAATGAAGGGGAATGAAATTATGTATTTTAGGTTAAACAAAACAAGTCCTTGAGATGTTTGCTTGCAGAAAAGCTAGCGATTTCTTAAAGGGTGGGTTGTTCGTTTTTTTTTTTCAAAATTGTAGTGCATTCCATTAATTTTGTGTCTTGTGGAATCTTCTGCTAAATTATTTCTGGATACTGTTGGAGTCTAGTGTTTCCCTCTGAGCCCAATTGTTCCACTGCAAAGTCTCATTCTGGAGTTGTGGGCTCTTGTCAATGTTGGGAAGAGCAGCTCTCAGCAACTTGCCCACGGAGAAGCGCTCGGTTCTGCAGTGGCACACTAGAGACTTCAGAGTTCTTAGCTGCCTGGTGTTTAACAGTTTCATGTCACTGGTTCCTGCTGCTCCTCAAGTATTTCTTCCTTTTTTTCTCTTGTTAGGACTTGTACCAAAAGGAGTTGAAATTACAAGACCACCTCCTTCATCTAAAGCTGTTTTCTTTTCTTTTTCTTTTTTATTTTTTCACTCCTCATGTGGCTCCTCAGCTCTGTCAGTACTTGAGCACTTAGAAGCACTGAAGCAGTGGAACACTGGTGTCCACAGAAGAATTAGTAGAAGTTACAGATGAGGCTCGTGTGAATGTACTGGTCAGAGGCTTTACTTTTCTGGGCTGAATCGTTGACGTGGCTCACATCTCCAATGTGAGCTTTTTCCAATCTCCCGATGTTCCGTTCTTCATGCAGGTAAAGCTGTGTTCCTGGCACGAGACAAGCACCATCTGGCAGACCTCAGCCATCTGATCCGTCACGATGCCCCTTACTTATTTCAAAAATACGTTAAAGAGTCCCACGGCAAGGACGTGCGTGTCATCGTGGTAGGAGGCCGTGTGGTGGGCACCATGCTCCGCTGCTCGACAGACGGGAGGATGCAAAGTAACTGCTCGCTTGGTAGGAAAAGCATTGTTCATCGTTTTTTGAGCAGGATTTTTCAATCCAGTTGAAAAATCACAAAGCCAACTGAAATAAGCTGCAGGTTATGTTTTGTATTAATTGTGCTTAACTGTTGGGGGTGTACAGAGGAGACACGAGAGTGAGGATTGAGATGTGTGTTGAGCAAGCGCAAGAGGAGAGAGAGTCTCTGCTGGAAGTGTTAGATGGATTGGATGGATGAAAATGAGGAGAGAGTTCTAGGAACACGGAACGACTGATGTGGTAGTGGCAGTGTCGTGCTAATGCCATGTTATCAGTCATTTCATCCTGTTAAGAGGAATGGAAAAAGAAGCAAGACAGTAGATCACAGAATCACAGAGTGGTTTGGGTTGGAAGGGACCTCCAAGATCATCCAGTTCCAACCCCCCTGCCACGGGCAGGGACACCCTCCACTACACCAGGTTGCTCAAAGCCTCATCCAACTTGGCCTTGAACACTTCCAGGGATGGGGCAGCCACAGCTTCTCTGGGCAACCTGTTCCAGTGCCTCACCATCCTCAGTGTAAAAAATTTCTTCCTTAGATCTAATCTAAATCTCCCCTCTTTCAGTTTAAAGCCATTGTCCCGTGTCCTGTTACTACACACCCTTGTCCAAAGCCCCTCTCCAGCTTTCCTGTAGCCCCTTTAGGTACTGGAAGGTCACCCCGGAGCCTTCTCTTCTCCAGGCTGAACAGCCCCAACTCTCTCAGCCTGTGTCCAGATGAGGCTGAGGGAGGTGGAGGAGACAACCAGTTGGCAGGAGAGTAGAAGAGAGTGTTAAGGGAGGAAACTGCTGAAGGCAATAAAGCCTTGGGTTGCCTTGTGCAGCTGCTGTGCTGCCTGAAGTCTGTCTGGCAGCTCCTGCAACCTGTTCCTTCACAGACCAAGTCTGGAAGAACGAGGAAGGATACTGCATGGATGGTAGCCCACTCAGAACTGAGCTGCTGCCTAGCTTTGGGTGTAGAACAGGGAGGTTTCTGATGGTGGGAAGAGGGATGAGGTTGCCTGGCTGAAAACGTACCGGACCTGAGCAGGGATGAGGTAAAATGTTTTCGTTGTGGTACAGTTTTGGTTGGTCAGCATGCCCCAAACGCCTGAGAGTTTTTAGTTACTCTTCGATGCTGAGGAAATACAGCCTGAAAGATTTTTCTGCTGAATGTTTTTTGGTTTGTCATCATTTTTTTTTTTTTTTAAAAAAAGAACTTAAGTGTTGTGATGGATGAAGTCTGAGTCAGTTAATACTTAGATGATGGGCTGTGAACCGGACCAGCTGAGGTTCAGGCACAAACCTTCCCTAATCCTTGCTTTAGAGAAGTAACCTCTGATAGCAAGCTGAGGGGGACATGAGCAGATGAGAATGTCTGAACCCTCATCCCCCTCAATTGTATCTGTTAGAGCTGTTATCAGGAACACTTGGTTTAATTTTGCTGAAAGATTTCTTGTGATAACTTACAAATAAGTATGGAAAGCCCGTACCTTAGAAGGAACAAGGGTGCTTTGTGAAGTCATCTCTTTAATATCCCAGGATCGTAGAAACGCGTGGTGTCTTTCTTGACTAAAAAGTCAGCACTTCACTGTTTTTTAAACAAGTCATAATCTTGACTTGCTTTTGGCAGGTCAGAATCTCTTGAAATCCTGCGGTGGCTTCAAGCTCGTTAGTAGTCACCACGGCAAGGAGGTTGCTTTCTGAGTCCTCAGCAGTCTTGGAGCTTCCCAACCAAAAAGCACCAAGCAGTTGAGAAGGACATCAGTCACCTGTGCCTTACAGACACAAGTTGTGGCTTTTTTTTCCCAGGTGGCGTGGGAATGATGTGCTCGCTGAGCGAACAAGGCAAGCAGTTGGCCGTCCAGGTGTCGAACATCCTGGGGATGGACGTGTGCGGCATCGACCTGCTGATGAAGGACGACGGCTCCTTCTACGTCTGCGAGGCCAACGCAAACGTAGGTTTCATTGCCTTCGACAAGGCTTGCAATCTAGATGTAGCTGGTATCATAGCGGACTATGCCGCTTCCCTGCTCGCCCCCGGTCGCTTGACGCGGCGCATGTCCTTGCTCTCCGTGGTGTCCACGGCCAGCGAGACTAGCGAGCCAGAGCTGGGCCCTCCGGCTAGTGCCGCTGTCGACAATATGAGTGCTAGCTCCAGCTCTGTCGACAGCGACCCTGAGACCACGGAGAGGGAGTTGCTCACCAAGCTCCCGGGGGCTTTGTTCAACATGAACCAGCTGTTAGCCAATGAGATCAAACTGCTCGTGGAGTGACGCCACCTGTAAATAGATGACCGACAGAACTCTCTCTTGTAAATTTATTTTTATTTTTTATTTTTTTTTTTTCCTTTTTTAAACCAACTTGCAATGCTGTTTATCGGAGAAGCTCAGAGGAATGAGGAAACGGGGGGGATGTCCATCAGGAGAGCAAAAGGCACGCGTGCTGGGGTTGCTGCCTCTGCTGTTTTTTCAGAACGTAAAAATTGGGTTGGCTCTTCAGCATCAGCTTTCTGGTGAAGGTGCTCAGTTCACAGCCTAAGTGGGAATTTTGGTTGGATGCTGCTTTGGTCCCCAGACGTCTCGCAGTTCACGTGTGTTCGCAGGCAAGCATTGGAGCACGATTCACGCCTGAAGACTTTTCAGAAAGCTGTCTGGCAGCTCTCTGGAAACTTCTGTGAATTACTGCACCAATGAAGTCTCTTCTACCTCGATAAGGCTTGATCCTGTAAATTGCTGAGTGCCTCAAATTCTCAGTGTGAGTCGAAGGTGTTAAATACCAGGTGTTTCAAAGCTCCTGGACACCTACCGGTCGTGCTCTTGCAGATGGGAGCTGCAAGTTCAGGATCCTTCGGAAGTCATCGCTTCCTTACGTTTCAGGATGTGGCCTTTCAAACGATGAGGCTGAGAGAAGAGTGGTCAGTTGACTCAACGTGAGCTTTCTGTGCAAATCTGTGGTTTGTGCCATCTCGGTGTTTAATTGGCAGCTCTGTGTCTCTGTAAAGCTTTTGAAGGAGGATTTTAATACTTGAGTTTTTCTCATTCGGAGTTCCGATTTTGGAAGGTACGTAGGGGAATCGGGCATATTCTATTTGTGGCAGAAGTGGCAAGTTTTAACTCTTTTTTGCATGATTGGAGGAGATAAACAGCACTGTAATGTTTGGTGTACAAAATAATGTTTAATCCAATGTGAAAAAAGAATTACACTAGTTTAAAGCAAACGTGCAGCGACTTGTGTTTGTTAGTGTTTTAGTCTTTTTGAGAGAGATCTGCAATGTTAATGTTCCTTTTTCTTTAATACATGCTAGTCCAACACCCCCTTCTCTATGCCTGCATCTTTACCAGTGGCCAAAGTGAAAACACTGCAGACTATTTGTTAAGAAAACACTGAGTTAAAGCCTGTATGTTGGAGCGGTGGGGTTTTTTTTGTTGTTGTTTATTTTTTTTTTAGTGTTTTTTTTTTTTTTTTTTCGGAGGGGGGAGATGTGGTAAGATGTGGAGGAGGGAGAAGTTGGTTAAAAGTGATGAGACATCTAGAGGTACTTTAGAATAAAGCTGCAGTTCATACGATGCTTACCAGGCTCACTTCTTCCCCACTGAACATAAAAGCTGATGTTGGCGGAAATCCAAAGAGTATAACTGGGGAGAAATACTCAATTCTTAGCTTTGGGAAACATGCAGTGGATTTAAAAAAGAAAAGTTTAAAAAAAAAAAAAAAAAGAAAGAAAAAAAAAGAAAAAAGAAGGAAGAAAAGGAAAAAAAAAAAAAAGAGAGCTCAGCCAGAATTAAAAAAAAATATAAAACATACAACCTAGGTCCACAAACAATTAACAAGTTGATCCTGGACCCTTACGTGTGTGTGGTGTGAGCGCACACGCTTGTGTGTGTTCGTGTGCGCCGCATTTGCTTTGCTTTAGTTCTTTTTGGGTTTTGGCTGTTCAGCTCCTAATTTTTTTTCCAAGCTGCCTGATTTTTTTTTTTTGAATTAAAAAAAAATATAAAACATACAACCTAGGTCCACAAACAATTAACAAGTTGATCCTGGACCCTTACGTGTGTGTGGTGTGAGCGCACACGCTTGTGTGTGTTCGTGTGCGCCGCATTTGCTTTGCTTTAGTTCTTTTTGGGTTTTGGCTGTTCAGCTCCTAATTTTTTTTCCAAGCTGCCTGATTTTTTTTTTTTTTTTTTTTTTTTCCTTCTGGCTGTGCATTTTCTCGTTAGCCTTGAGCTGTTTTGGAAAACAGATAACCAAAACAGATCCTGAGTCCGTTTTTCAGTCCCTGTCTTCGCCCTCCTTTTCCTCCTCCTTCTCCTCCTCCCTTTTCATTCCTTATTCTCTGGGTTCGTAAAGCCCTGGAACTATAGATATATATATATATAAAAAGATAAGCCTCTTTTTTTAAAAATACAAAAAGTAAAACGTTTACAATTGCAAAATAATCTTGTGAAAATAGGGTTTGTTTGGAGGGGGGGGGGGGGTGGGGGGGGGGAAGGTGTGTGTGCAATGCTGCTGTTTTCCGGATACTTTATTGGAGCATGTCCCGTGTACCCTCTGAGGCTCTGCACTGCCCACCTCTGTGGCACTGCCCACCTCTGTGGCCCTTCCTCACCTCTCTGCTGCTCTGCTGTTTTGTCTTCACTCGGACCTTAAACACAACTCACGGACACTATGCAGAGAGTCTTCAAGAGGCAATAAACAGAACAGTATTAACCTGCTTTATGGAGGTTTGATCATGCTTCTTTGTACAGTTTGGTTTTGTTTTTTTTTTTTTTTTTTTTGTTTTATTTTAAAAGGAATGTAATAAAATGGCTTTTTTTTTGTAGAATTAAATATTATTATTAAAATCAAGTGAAAGGTTGGCTGTTGGTGTTAAGCAGGAGAGCGGAC